AAAAATTGAACCAACTGAAAAGTCAGTCATCTTTAAGAATTGAATTAAATGATTAGGAGGAACTGACGTGAATGGTCATCTACGAGGGGAGATTGTACGATCCGTCCCGTCATACAGCAACTGCCTTCTGCAGCAGTCAGGGGTGAACTGAAGAAGAAAGACCCAGTATAAGCGGAACCACAGATGATCAAATAATCCACCAACCTTTCACAAAAGCCATGACCATGTCCGCCATGGGCTTCAGCGTGAGAATGTGCGAGTGACGGGATTGAAATGATAACAACCTGCAATTTTTCTAGACTTCTTTCGCCTATAGTAAGAGAGCAAATCAGCTTTTACCTCCTCAAGGAAAAATAACAAAAAGAATCCAGCGCAGCTAAGTAGCTCGGCGAGTGGATAATCGACATAGAAGTTATAAACCTTAACCAGTAAAAATAAGTTAGAATTGAAGTCAACATTGAGCACTATTCAACTACTATTACCCCTCCTCCGGAATCAGGCCAGACTTTTACCGAGATTTTTGCTATGAGGGCAGATTTGGCTGAAAATTTTTTCCAAAGGTAGTTTGATCACTTGAACACGAAAACCGCATTCGCTCGGCTTGTAACCGCCCGCTGCACTCACGCCATGGACCCTGGCGCCAGCCTACCCCTCGTCACCCAAATCGCTCAGAACTTGTCCATAACACAATTATCACATGTGTATGCAGGGCCAATGGAGTTGAGGATGGAGTAAAAGGGGTGTGCGTGACAGCGCAGTTTGTTGCACTTGTCTGCGCCTTCTCTTCGTTGTAGTGATCCTTTCTTCTGCTGAGGCTGAGCATTAGAATAGAGCACGATCACTTCCGCAGACAACAAGAAAGGGTACTGTCTTGTTTGGCTGTGCTTCTCCAAAGCCCGCGCTACATGCTTCGGGGTCAAAAGAAGGATGTGGTGCCGTCACCTATAACGCGAAAGGATAATGATTTCGTATCAAACGGATGTCATATTCGTGTACGGGGCACAGAACAACGGCAGTATGCGAGATTACACCGGTTTTGGTGGGAAAAGTGGTGGCGCCATATTGCGCTAAATGGCGCCAGCGCCAGGCACCGTGTAGACGTGCTCGGGACACCAAAGAACCCCAGTACGGAAGTTTACATCAAACTTGGGAGAGAAAGGTGATGGCGCAAAATGGGGCCAGCCCCAAAACCGAATGCGATTTTGTGATCAGGGCATCGAAACACTCTTATGGGCATAGCTTCAGCAGAAAAATGAGTTTCTGGGCTGGTAACTGTTGAAGTGTACCCAATAGTGATTAGCGCTCACCTCATCGAGTTTTCTAATGTTATCAACAAGTTCTGGAAAGAGGTGTAGAAAGCAAGTGGCCAGGAAAACACCTGAAAACCCATTGCTCTTGCTACGTAACCAATGAAACAAAGTTTGAAGACCAGATGATCTTACGAAAAAGAATTAGGAGAAACGCAACATCCACAAACCTCCAGAGAAGCAAGTAAGCAGACAAAGTACAAGAGACACGTGTTTGTGCTGCCTTGACGAGGAAGCGCGTGCAGCACTTTGACGCAGATACCGTAGCACCTACAAAAAAATGAAAAATGGAAAGGTAGTGGTATTAACCTAGTGCATCATTACCTTCAACGGGGCGAGACCAGCGACCAAAGTTGCACATATCATTATTGATAGAAGAATTAGCTTTAGAACATTTAAGTTCATGGTGACGGTGTTGGGTGGCTACCCACCACTTTGTGAAATTTACTGAAATGATTACTTCGCATTATTTTTGCGAGTTAATATACACGTTTAAGTGGTAAATCTTGTTCATAAATATTCCACGTTATGCTCCTTAATGTTCAGAAAACGCCGCTAACGATGTCGTCGCAGCGTTGAAATCTCGCTAAATAACCAGTTTTCAACGCTGTTCAGGTCCAAAACCGTTTCAATATACATAGCTCATCAAGAAATTTATGGCCGCGTTCATTCACTGAGATTCCGCAGTCCCTGCAGAATGCGCGGAATCTGCGGAAAAGAATGCATACATATCGATATGAAGAAAATGCAGATCCCGCGAAATCTGAAGAAACGGATGATGGCGGGACCGCGGGGTAAACGTTCGTCTCCAACGTTTTCTTCTGCGACTTCGTCGACTCTCTCGATTCCGCGGATCCTGCGGTATCCGTGGAACCTGCGCATTCTTCAGATTTCCATAGAAGCATCCTTTTTCGGCAGATTCCGCGGAATCTTGGTGT